TTTTTTTTTTTTTAAAAAAAAAAAAAAAAAAAGACATTTTCTTTCAGGCTGATTTCCTCAGCCTCATGCATAGGAAGCTGCAAATTACAGGAGTCACAAGCTCCACAGGACAGACTTACGAAGTAAACCACAAGGAACAAGAGGCTCTTTAATACATCTCTAAAGATGCTTCTTCTTTTACCCAGACAAATTAATATTCGTTTTTGTTCAACATATATCCCCGGCCTCTGGAGAAACATTTCTCCTCCTGCCAAAATACGTTAACACACACCCACACCTATTCGCACACTGCATATAAAAATAAGAGATCGTCTGAACCTGTTATTGTGCTGTACGTATGTAAGTGTGAGCATGTGCATGACTGCATCTATATATATTTTAACAGCAGGGATATATTATGTTCTCCGTGAGTAGCTGGGAAGACTATTTGGTCCTTCATGGAAGGCATGAAACTCTGGACCCAATGAAGTCAGCAAAGAGCTTTGATATTTATTTTAGGAATATTAATATTAATTCATTTATCTGTAATAGACATTAAGAAAACATTAACCACAAAAGCTGCCTTAGGATGCATTTCACCTTATGCTACCAATTAGCAAATACTTAGTTTGTGCAGTCAAATCTGTGTTAAAAAGACAAAAAGAAAAGCAAATTTTTACATTATCATGGATGTATACACAGCAGTAGCCAGGAGACACCTCGCTGCACCCTGGACCTGACCCTGGCTTCTGATCTCCATGGGTGTCTGCAAACCTCCTGCCCGGTTAGTGATGTAACTTGAAAGCAGCTCGATTTCTACACGGGAGACAGCGGACCCAATACACTCAAAGTTTCCTGCTTGCTGTACGTTTGTATCCAAAGACCTGTTTTTCAGCAAGAATATTCAAATAAGATGAAAATATTTCAGAAAATGAAAAATGCGCCTTAAATCGGCTCCAAGCAACAGAACATACATCTCAATTTTTGAAAGTGCCATCTTCTCTCTTTTTCTGGGCATAAGCCAATTTGGATGTAAGGATATAAGAAGCAACCTGCCGTACCGAGAGTTTTGGAGGCTTCGAAGCCAGCAGGGGATGGACGTGAACTCCTGTGCTGAGAGCTTGCACTGGTGGGGCCTTGCAGCCTGGCCCTGCGTGGGTCTCTGCCAGCGTCTGGGGAGCGAGGGATTACTCCAGAGCGGCCGCGGCCAGGTTTATCACCCCTGCTGCCGAGGCATCACACGGGCTACGTGAGGAGGTACCAGACTGAATGAGAAGAGTGCCGGGGAAGGAACAGGACAAATTATGCTTGTGCTGCCAGATGCCAGCAGCACATCTTTGATCAGAAAAAGGGAGAGACTTGGCATGTCATGAGTCTAATTCCACCTCTTGTAACGGGGCTTGTGGCTGGAGGTCTCAGCACGTGCCTGGGGTTCGGGCAGAAATACGGCATGCCCTCCACTTTCAAAAATTTACTCTTGAAGTTTGGTAGAACACCAGCCCCACTGCTGAGTCCTGACAGGCACAGCGGTATGGGCCTGGCCCCGGCTCTTTGCCGGGATGTCTGGGGATAATGTCTGGCGATGCTGAGCAAGGGAGACAGCATCGCAGGAAGGGGGACGGCGGCGGGAGGTACCCCGCAGGAAAGACAAAGATCTGCTAATGGTTGAGAAATATACATTATTTTTTATAATAATGCTCATATTTTTACAAAAAAACCTGAGTATGAAGCCATAGTTGGATGCATACATGGCAACCATGGGGTTAGAACATGCAGTCTCCCCAAGCCTATGTTTTCCATCACCTAAAATCCAACCTTATCAATAACAAGAAATGTAACTTCAGACATACTGTGCTTTTACTTATGTGGAAAAACACAGATTATAGATTTGTAGAGATATTTTCTTTTGTTACTTCCTCTATTAAGAGCCTCAGTGTGCAAAAGTCTCCATAAAATCCCGCATCTCAACAGCTTTTCTGCATAAGGCAGACATCAAAGATAACAGCTGGCACCAGAGATGAATCGGGCTCTAAAGACTGTGCTCTGCTTTCACTTCCAGGAGTTCAAAAAAGAATAAATTCCAATGAAGACAATGAATTTACATCAAGCCAAAAACACAGCCCGATACTACAATAAACATGCTCTCTGTCTGAGTTTCTGCTTTCCAGACACCAGTCAGTTAAACTTTAATGAAGTTAAATTCATTACATTAACATAATCAAGGCATTAAAACAAAAAAAAATTGGACAGTGTTACCTTTGGTTATTCTAATTACCTAATTTCTAGTGAACGTTCAGTCTGGCACATATATCTAAATATGAATTCAATATGAACAAAATTTGTGGGACAAAAAAGCTAAGAAAGAGAAGGAGCATTGAAAAAGATGGGATTCTGGCATGGCACAAAGTATCAGAGATCATCAAAGGATTCAAGAAGAAAGCATTTTCTTTCACACACTAGTTATCACTGAACAAGACAATCCATTTTAGAGGTTGTTTGCCTTAGAGTACAAGCAGAAGTTTCTAATGAGAGTAGGAGGAATGACAAAAACAAATAGATTTCTTCAAACCATGTATTTTGAGGATGTACTAGTGGTGGAGAGATGGACCACCAGCAGTTAGTCAGGATCCCAAACACACTGTCATGATGTGTGTGGTAGGAGGACCGGACTCGCTGGAAAGAGCTTGTGACAGAAGTTCAGCAATCTTCCGTGCAATCACATAAGAAAGTAGCTTATCCCAGGTTTTTGACTCTTCAGATGTAGGCTGAGTATCTTATAAGAAGATAGATCCACTTCCTTATGTATGGGAGACTTCCAAGCCATCTAGGCTGCAAAATCTGCTTCCCCTCAAGTGATGTTGGCCCTTTTGCTCCCAGAAACATAGGGTTGCCAAAAAGAAAAAGAAGACGTGGAAAGAATGAACTAACAGCAATCTGGGCTGGGTTCATCTGAAAAGCCTGTCTGAAAGGATGCTTGTTTCTTATTTCTGCAGCTGAGATAATCACCTTCCATAAACAGCTCATTTCCAGAACGTAGTCCCTTTCTATTCTTAGTACGTGGGAGAGATCGTTACATCCTCTAAAGTATCCAAGGAAGAAATATTATTGCTAATGCAAGCCCTACTTGAAACGCTAGATGTTCTGCTTAGCTGCACCAGGTCAAAAGAGAGGTGTATTATTCTGTTTACTTCTTGATCGGATGGGTGCTCAGAACTGAATGTATAAACTGGTGTAGCAGAAGAGGCAAACTCGCCATCTCTAACGGTCAGTGCAAGCAGTTAGTGCTCGGCACTCCTGGGTTACTGGTTTATATGAAATGCTTCTCTCTGTCCTCATCAATTAGTAACTGTCTTGTGCTCCAATGCATGAGAGCTTATTATATCCATTCATTTTGGTGTCTTGTCTAAACAGCTGAAACAGAACTCAATATCCTCTGCTCAGTATTGTGTATATCCATTATCATGATAGCAGTTCTCTCTGAAACTTACTCCTGTCTCTCATCTTAGGATTTATTTCTGTTTCTCCTCGATAATTTCTGAGATACTGCAAACAGAACTGAACATTGTATTAAGTATTTTTAATAACTTCTTGTGAATACTTACATTTGTGAAATGAAAACTTATTTTCTGATAATGTTCATAGCTAGGACAAATCCAAACTGAGCTTCTTGATTATTTGTGCCATGAGAAAACTTTACTATTTTATGTCCACAGAAGGTTTTACATATTACACAGGTAAATTCATTTAATTGCCATAATACCTACTTTTTGCATTTATCATTCAGTTCTCTCGCTCTTTCCCCCCCCAAAGCCACTTTAGTCCTTTTTTGTATAAAATTCCCTCTCCACCGCAGCTAAAAATGAGACGATTCAGAGAGAGTAAGGTAACTCAAACATCACATCTTTCACTTCTGGGTCTTCCCTGGTCAGATCTGAGAGAGATTAATTTCCCTCTTTTCTTTTATTTCACAGAAAAACACTAGTGTTTCTAGTTCAATATGAACCACTCTGCTTTTACATTAATTTTTTCCCTCACACTAGTGTTTCCTTACCCATTCCTTCTCCAGCTAAGATAATCAAGAAAAGATTGAGACTTCACCATATTTTTAATTGCAGTTAATTACCAAAACACTGAAAGTCTCTGTATGTGGTAAACCCAACAAACCTAAAAGGGTAAGTTCTTTAAATAAAAAACATTATTCCTGCAGCTTGAGCACTAACACATCTTATGTTCTAGTTGCATCAGTAAATTTATTGCTGTGATAATACCAGAAATGACTGATGACATATTTGGCTGATGTTAAGCACAACCAAGGGACTTTGTGCAAGAACCGAGACAATGACCAAACTGTGAGTGAACTTATTCTGCAGATGTGGTCCGACCATACTTAACTGTTCTTCTCATATTACCTAAAATCAGGCTTAAAAATTTAAACAAATGACGTCCTTTTCTTCTTCCCAAATGACAGAACATTTTAATCCTTTTTGCAGAATTCAACAAGTTGACTTTTGTACTGATTTAAATGCAACACAAGGACAGTATACTTACTATTATTATTAGCAACATGCAGAATTAACTCTGCATGTCTTGTTTCAGGGCTCAGAGCCCAATCTAAGAAACACAGGATTTATTTTTCATGGCAGAGCTGCTAATCCTCTCCACAAGCACATAAATGGGCATTGTGTCACGGGCTGAACTGCAGAGCTCCATGGCGCTCTCATTTACATAACCATGCATAGGGTAACGCCATAGTGTAAATCAGCGGCTTTTCACCCGAATCTGAAAAACAGGGTGTAGCCTTTGGGATCATATCCACCCTCTTCCTACTGTTTTCTAATGCCTGTTTCTTGGAATGGGATTCCTCTGACAGTAGACGTCTGTCAGTACAACTGCACGCATCGTTCAGATTAGCAGAGCAGTTGCCGAGATGAGACCTGCAGCCAGCCCATGCTCTATTTTTAATGTCGGCAGAAAGGGAAACACATCTACAAGCGAGCATTCATGAATTGAAGATCTTCAATATGGGAGCTTTAAAACTAATTTAAAGAGAGGCAATCAGTTTGGTTTGCAACTTCTTTTGTTATTGGCTTTCATGTGTTGTCTTTTGCTTAGGCGTGCCACGGAGGAGTACAGCACGGGTTTTGCTGGCTGAGCAAGGGCAATTCGATATCAGTTGTAACGGAGATGTTACAAACAGGATTGCAGCAGACGAAGATGTATCCCTGATGTACAGGAGCAGTGCAACCTTTTAAAGACCGATGTAAATAAAGGAATGGATCAAAGGGCATAGGACTGCTGTGGGAACAAGGAGCTTTTGCAAATCTATAGCACCCTAATTATCAGCCCACAGCATGAGCAGAATCTCAGGAAAAGTGCTCAAAACTCTGAGCTTCGCATGCATGGGCACCTCCTACGTAAGCTAAAAGGATTAGCACAAACTAAACATTCATGTAATATGCGTTGGAGGAGAGTTTTCAGCCCACCCCATCCATACTTCTTACTGTGCCTAATACCTACAATGTAAAACGGACCCAAGCAGACAATTCTGCATTACTGTTTTACCTAAAAAATTCAGTATACAGCAAAGGCTGAAGAGAAGAGATGAAGGGGAGGGCTTCTTCTCTTCATGCACTCTCTGAAAACCAGAGAAGACCTCTGAGTGCATACTTAAATATTTCATTAGCCTGTTAGAGCTCCCTCTCTAGCTACAAGTCCATAGCACCATATTCTTAAACGTATCTTAGTAATACAGAAATTTGGCCTCTGCTCTTGATCCTCCCAAGAGGATTTTCTGCTCTGCTCACTGTAGCACAGTCACAGAGATTTTACTTCATCATTTCACCCCTCAACCCACTCAGTATCCTCCTGCCTCTGCTCATGCCACCACCTGGGAAAGCCTATGGGGTCCCAGTCTGGGCAGTCTGACCTAGACGGTCACCTACTGTAAGGTTAAATCCAACTTCAGGGTGGCAGCCACAAGCTTTTATTTTGTCTTCATCACTGAAGACACAAGCTGCACTTTGGGACTGCTTGGTTGGAAGAGCAGAGTTCTGCCAGGCACCCGTGGGCAGGAGATTTCACTATCCTCTGTTTGTACCTCTTCAGAAAAAACAAGCAAAAAGACTAAGTAAGAGGAAGAGTAATGGGGGCAGAAAAGCCCAGGGCACGGCTGGAACATGGAGGGGGATGTGACACAAAAGAATAATGCTCAGAATTAGAAAAACATTTTCACTGGAAATTAAGACCCCTTATTTCTTTAATGCCTGCTGCAAAACAAAAGAAATTTTCACAAGATTGCATCACCGAAACACGGGACACCATCACCGCTTTGTTCTCAAAAAAGGAACAAATTTGGAAACACCTGAATTCTTGCAAACTACTTGAACTGGAAGGGATACCGACATCCTTCATGAATTAGGCAAAACTCAGACTGGGGAAGTCTACAAAGCTTTGCACTTACGCAAAGACAGGTTTAGCAGAGAAAAACACGTCTTGAAGTACATGAAGTGCTTTGTAATGTTTACTTACCTATGCAAGTGCGCCCATCAGCATGGAGCCTGTATCCCGCCTGGCACTGGCAGTGGAAGGAGCCATGTGTGTTGACACAGCCTTGCTGGCAGCCACCATTCACCACCGCACACTCGTCCACGTCTAGAGGAGGAAGGCAGATGATGAGAATTACAAGACAGCCTCAGCAAAGACATACCCTGGTTCTCCTGGACGGCACGTAGCTCATACATAATGCAACCATTACACTCAGACTGGGTTTTTGTTTACTTCTTTTCTGCACTGTAAAGAGAGCAAATAAAATTGAAATTTTATGGTGTTTTTCAAAGTTCCCGCAGGCACTGCCTCTATAGTCTCTACTTCTGAAGCCCTCGTTAATTAGAGTGATCCATGACACGGCTGTTTCCTCGGGGCCAAGAGAAAAATACAGGGAAAGAATTAGGGTAAGATAACACATCTGAGCTCATAGGTACCACTGGTCAAACATTTGGCTTTTGTAAAAATTTGCTGTGTGAAGATTTCCTTTTGCATCAGGCCTTTAATGCTAGTAGCAGGTGCTCGTGAGGGTACAAGCACATACAACTGACATAAATGGGAAAAAGCCATGCAAGAGCAGAGCCCATGTTTTCTTACATTTTCAACCACTGAATACACAGAGCTTAGACATTACATTTAAAAAGAATGATGATTTTGTGCCACATTTTCTGAGACTCTTGTCCCTTGAGCTTCCTTGTGTTCACCTGAACTTTCCATAGCATCTTCTCAGATGATCTCCAGAAAATGTGATTTCTTGACGATACCTTTTCCCAACCTAAGCAGGTATCTTTCTATATTATACATCTTAGAGGATTACATTGAATCAAATGAAGAAGGAAACTAGCATTAAACCAGCTTGAGAACACTGCTGTAACGTTTCATCTGAAAATTATGGACTATGATGGACAAAAAAGATCAAGAACAGTTTAAGTAAACAGGTGAAGGTTTAAAACAGACCCACAAAACCAAATTTCCAAAAGTACCACATAAGCAGTTTCTGCACCTTTTCAGCAACACTGGGCTACTGTAAATAGCATTTGATTGGCATGTTGACACCATTACCTTAAAATTTTACACGGAAGTCATTGAAAATAAGGGTCAGTTAGTCCATTCCCTGACAAAATTTCACCTGGTAGATGTTTGCCTAGAATTTTTCTGTCCTTTCCTTAACAGCCCCCAGGGATGGCAACTCCACGTCCCTCCATCTCACCCAGGGGCAATGCTGGTACCAAATTATCCTGACCACCGAAGACATTCTCCTCTTGCCAAAGTCAAACCTCCCTCCTGCAATAGGCATCTATAAAGAACCCCCTTTCAACATTAAAGACTCCCATTGATTTAATTGCTCTTTAGATCATGTTCTCAAATCATCTAAGGGATTTACCCATCCAAACACACCCAAGTGGGTGTGGATGAGGAGACTGGGATTTAAAGAAATAAAAGAGTGACTGCAATGAGAGGCAAGTCTGCAATTGTTGCTGTGGGGAAGCGAGCCGGCAGTGGAGCAGAACACAGCAACACAGAGGTTTTTTTCCTGCCCTTCCCATATTGCATTTGAGGAACAAGGGGACTGACTTCCATATTTTTGCTGTTGATGTATCTGTTTTGCATTTAACTTTCATGGTTTACATTTTTTTATGCTTTTATGTTTATTCCACTCTAGAAAATCTAATCAAAGTTAAATTAAAAAGGAAGTTTTAAAGATGACTTGGAAATGCACAACGTCCTGGTCCTAAGAAAATATATTTATAAAGTTACATTTTAATATTTCACATGTGAATTTCACGTACCTAAAATGAAGTCCTGGTGTTGACTAGTGTTTAAATTCAGACCATTTGCTAACGTGTGCCACTTTTTAATCCTTCTGCTATATTTGCTGTTTTATTAGACTGTATACTATGTACATTTCCTACTGCCTGGAGACATCTGGAATACTCTTTTTTCAAACAGAAGTTTTGCTTTTTTAATGTAAACAATAAACAGAAAATGTTATTCATCTTACTGAATTCTATAGTGTTAAGAAATAGCCTGCTGAAAAATGCCAGGACAAAATCAAAACCAGGAAACTATTTGTCTTGAGTATCATAGGAATAAAATAAGCAAAAAGGCTCAGACAAATATAACAAGGAAGCAGCTGAACTATATAGTACATCACATTCTAGTATTAAATATTAAATATTAATAGTATTAAGTAACAAATACTGGGAGCTTCAATATATGAATTTTATAGGCTACAATCAGCTGCAGAATTTCTCTAATATACCAAATACAGTTTTAAGTTAGGATATCAGCACTTACAAAGGAGAAAAAATAGTCCAGCTAATAAAAACATGCACTTAGAGTTAGCTCTACTTGTTAGTCTCTGTTTGAACGTTTAAAGAAGTGACTTGGTTTACAGGGAAGCCCCGCACCCAGCAGCACCTGCACCAGCTCCAGCTCTTCTTTCAATGGCATTTCCCTCGTGCTGTCACATCCCAAAAGGCCATAAGGCAATTATATTGCTGAAAGGCAATATAATTAAATGAAAAATAAAAAACTCTAAAATACTTGTATATACGAGCTATACCTAACCCCACCCCGAGACTCCTTGCCACAACTGGGGAAAAAAACAGAGGTGAGATCAATGAGCCTGCAGTGCAACTCCACGACCATCTTCCCAGGATGCCACGTGAGCGGCAAGTTTGATGACAGATGATTCCTTCTAGGCTCAGGCTTTCTCTGCAAGATCAATATTTTAAGGATTATTTGTTGAAAGATTCCTTCACATACTACAGATACAATCAAGAAAAATGAAACACCCAGTTGCCTTTCAATGTCTCCTACTTCTCAAGGCCAGGAAACAACTTTGCCCCCAGTTACAGAAGAAAAATGCCTTAATTATTTTGTCTGGGGAGCAGTCTGCAAAGTAGACACTAATCTAAATGCATGAATTGCACTTTAAAGTTTTAAAAGTCTAACCTATTTGGACTTTTATATTTAAATTGCTATACTAGTAAAGGACATATACACCAGGAAAACAACAGCTTATGCTGGTATAGGTACAGAAGTAGCCATTTCTTTTTCTACATGGAAATAACTATAGAAATATAAATTTTTTTACATATAAATATAAAAAATAAATAATATAAAATATAAAAAATATTCCAGAAATATAAAGTCATTATATTGTAATTCTAGAATATTATGGGATTATGGAAGATTGTATCTGTTTAACAATACACTATAATTAAATTTGGATTAGTTTCCACTGCAGATCAAACTGAAACACCTACATGCTCAACTTTCTATAGTTACAATTTAGGATGCTTATCTGAATAACCTGAATTTCAAGCCATTTATGGCTTGCTTATCACAAGTCAGACCGTGATGAAAGCAACTGCATTGCCACAAAACAGAGGGAGAGCAATCCACTGAGATGACAGGTGAGAAGCGAAATGAGAATGGTGTGCTGTCCCAAGGCTATCTTGCAAAGGGGATTATGCTGCTGGGTGAATAGAGCCGAGCTGGTATGTGAATACCCTCCTCCTCATCTGCGAAAGATTTCAACAGAGATGCATTTTAGTGGGATTCCCCACTGAAGGGGTCTCTGCTTTCCATGCTGTCTGTACGCAGCACGTGCCTCATCAGGTACCCGAGGATGTACAGGGATTGTGTCCCCATTCACCCACTTTTCATTGGGAATAGGCTGGCAGGAATAGCCTTACGGTCAGTCATAGAATAGAATCATAGAATCATTTAGGTTGGAAAAGACCTTTAAGACAATTGAATCCAACTGTAAGGAAGGTAGAGGACAAACTAGAACTCATGATATTTCAGGGCCCCAACCACCCCAGATCCTGCAAAAATTTGTAAGCTAATCCTTTCCCTGGAAGATTGGAAAGGACATATTTGGGAGGACCCAATCAAGAACTTAGCAATGAGAGTGAATTAGATGAATCAGAATTTAAGGTAGCCCCTATTATTAAAACTGAGGTATGTGCCAGACCTCAAGAGGCAACCAGAGAAATACCATAAAGACCACTCCATGGGAACCCCTTCCACTGGCCAATCTGCACAAAAAATATGGGCGGAAGCCTGGTGAGAGCAGGACTGAATATCTGTGGCATCTCTTCTTAACTGGAAGAGATTGTATTTTGTTAGATCAAGATGAAGCAGATGGCTTTTGGGGACCAGGAGTGTTCTTGAACGAGGGACCAGCCCCAACACTGAACCACGCTCCATTACGCCCGAGTAGCATACTGGGCAGGGGGCATAGACCATTGGGATAGAGGGGACCCAAAGCTATACCAGTAAGATCATTAAGTGAACTTTTTATTGCCTTACAAAAGCATACAGTCATACAAGCCAAAAGTCAATCCTATATGTTTCCAGGATGTAAATTATTTTAGCCACCATGACATGAAGATTTTTCAGCTCTTCACGCTTCTGAGGTCTGTGCATTTGGATTGAGCTCTGTGCATCACAACTGCACACTGAGCTTTCATCTGTCCCGAGAGGATGCACATCTCAAGTCCCAAACATGGGAAAAGAGGCTGCAGCGTACAAATGCACAAGTTGCTGCCAGCACCGTGCCCTTTCTAAGGGCAGATCCTACTGATGAAGTTACAGATTTTGAAGTCCTCTGTACCCCTGAATGGGGGCTCTGCTAATCTTCAAGGAAGTTTGTCCCCAATTGATTTGATGGGCCACGTTGGCAACAGCGCGATTTCCCTGCCCAAAACCTGTTTAAATACAGAGCTGGGCAATTGCTTGTTTGGAATTCAGGGCCATCACATCAGTGGCTTTTCTTATATCGTTACTAAAACATTTAGGAACAGCTATGATCAATCAGTTCCTTAAAAATAAACTGACAGCAGTGGTAGACACAGATAATTAGTGAACCTGCAATCATGTTTTTACAAAGCGGGGGGGGAAGCAAGATGTTGCCAGATCAATTCCCTACTAACGAACAGCTTGGCTTTATAAACCATTAAGAAAGGTAAACAACATGCAAAACTAAACGCCAAAAGAAGAAAAAAAAGAGTTCTGATGGCAGCAGGACTGAGCATTTGCAGTATCCTCTCCATTTTTATGATCTTTCCCCTCTTTTCTGGCCATACTGTGCAAGA